CAAAAGGGTGGCGATGAATTGTTTTATATACGGTCGTGTAGACTTGTCGTTGAGCGGGACAAAAGGAAATTTGTTGTATGCTACTTGATCTGGTTCAACCAAAATTCATAATACATTTTACGTTTGGTGGGCGATCGACCCGCTTGCGGCCTACGTTACCCCAGATAGTCGGTGCATTGTCCTCAGGGGACGTTGACGAAAAGAGTTTGGCTGCAGGCGTTTGCACAATTTCCCGCGTCTTGCCCTGGAGAGTTTTGTAGGGACTAAGGAGCAGGGAGCAAGGGCGGGAGCAAGAAGTCGCAGGTCAAACAGCTTCCCAGGATACTCGAGACAAGTTTGACAGGCGGCATAGAGGGTTGGCTCACCGCTTGTTGTGGTCTCGATAAGACTTTGTGGGCTAACAATTGATTGAGGATCGGCATCTTCATTATTTCTCAGCAGCGCGTCTTGTTCGCGAGCATCTTTCACAGTTTGTTGGCAAGCAGCAACGGTGCGTGCACGTTCTTGACCGCCTTAAGGTTTAGAGGATTAGTCCCTCGGTGGAAAGTTGAGAAAGACGATCTCTGGACCAGCAAGCTAAGTCGCGCCTGACTAGTCGACCACGTCGACTTCCTTTCATCTCGTGGAACCTCACTCGGCGGCGACTTCTCCGAGACGGTCGGCATCATTTATTCTGACGAGGCATTGACGACGAGTGTGAGAATGCGAGATTGAGAAAATAATCATCAAGCCTACAACAAGACAGAAACGACGACACGAATACAGCCACACGGTACACGCCACCTCCACACGCATACACACCTACTTCGACCAGACAGCTTCAATTTCAACATGCTGGGGTCATCACTAATACCAGCGCGATGGCGTTCATTCTACGACCCTGAGGATCCTACCAAACCTGGACGATACAACCGACACCTCACACCCTTTCTCAAGACAGTGTCGAATCGAGCTTGCACCCACCCTATCCACACAATAGTCTTCTTCGCCATTGTCGCCAGCACGACGTATATTTCTCTTCTTGAGACTGGCCTGTTCGAGCCTTCAACAATCACAGCAGCGGACAAGTTGGACTACAGCGCGTTGGCGTCAGGGAGCAGGAGGTTACACGTGGGACCAGAGACGAGCTGGAAATGGCAGGCTGAAGAGCTGGGCGCATCCCACCCCACTGGACGAGAGGTAAAGATAGACAAGATCTTCAACCATGTGCGCCACAGCGCTGACAGACATCTGGCTCCATAGGACCTCGCATTGATCTCGCTCACTTTTGGCGATTCCTACCTCAGTGGCGCTGCCTCTGAAGCGGCCCCTCTGGCTCAGGCTGTCCCTATCCCCAGCGACAGTCAGGCTGAGATTCTGCCTCCTCGTTCTTCAGGAGTGTCGCAAGATGACACTCTCGCCTTTTCTCTGCCCTCGGAAGAGGCCCCTCGTTTCCTGGCTGCAATCAGAGAGATTCCTGCGTCGGGTGAAGCTGTAGACGCTGACAACGAGACTCTTGATGACATTCCCGAGCAGAAGAGATGGATCATGAAGGCTGCAAAGAATGCAGACAGGCCCTTCACTCTTCAAAATTGGGCAAATGATTCTTGGACCGCCTTTGTTGATCTGCTCAAGGTGCGTCAACACATAACATGAAAAAATACTTCGGACCAGACACTGACGAGGCTTGTAGAATGCCGAGACTCTGGATATCATCATCATGGCTCTCGGCTACCTGTCCATGCACCTGACTTTTGTCTCCCTCTTCCTATCCATGCGGCGTATGGGGTCCAACTTCTGGCTGGCCACAAGCGTACTCTTCTCTTCCGCCTTTGCCTGCCTCTTTGGTCTGGTCGTCACCATGAAGCTTGGAGTTCCAATCAACATCGTTCTCCTGTCTGAGGGTCTGCCTTTCCTTGTCGTCACTGTCGGCTTTGAGAAGCCCATCATCCTCACTCAGGCCGTTCTCTCTGCCGCTCTGAACCCAAGCCGCCACCAGTCGAATGTCAACGGCGAGCAAGCCCCATTGACCATTCAGAATGCCGTCCAAATCGCCGTAAAGGATCGCGGATATGGCATTGTCAGAGATTACATGGTTGAAATCGCCATTCTGGCCCTCGGTGCCTTCTCTGGCATTCAAGGTGGTCTTCGTCAATTCTGCTTCCTGGCCGCATGGGCCCTCTTCTTCGACTGCATCCTTCTCTTCACCTTTTACACTGCCATCCTCACCATCAAGCTTGAAGTCAACCGCATCAAAAGACATGTCGCTCTGAGGAAGGCGCTTGAGGATGACGGTGTCAGCCGTACCGTTGCCGAGAACGTGGCCAGCAGCAATGACTGGCCCAGAAAGGACTCGAATCTTCAAATCGTCGGCGAGACTTCTGTCTTTGGCCGCAAGATCCGTGACAGTAGTATTCCTCGCTTCAAGGTTCTCATGGTTTCCGGCTTCATCCTGATCAATGTCATCAACTTTGGAACTCTCCCATTCAGGGGTGCTAGAAACAACTCCCCTGTTGCTGCTGCCGGCCTCTCTAGTGTCGTCACTCAGCCACCCATGAACCCTTTCAAGGTTGCTAGTAATGGTCTAGACCACATCTTCCACCACGCCATTGCCCATGACCAGCCTACCTCTGTCACCGTCTTCAGCCCCATCAAGTACGAGTTGCAGTATCCTTCGGTCCACTACGCCACCCCTGATGCCGATGCCATTGACTGGTCTTTGGCCAACGGTCTCTTCTCCAGCGTTGGTGGCAAGGTCGTCGAGGGTGTCCTCAAGAGTTTTGAAGACCCCGTCCTGAGCAAATACATGATTATCATTCTTGCCATTTCTCTCGTCCTTAACGGCTACCTCTTCAATGCCGCCAGGTGGAGTATCAAGGAACCCAACAGCTCTGAGCCTGCACCTGTCGCCGATACCATCACTCCCGCACCTGCACCCGCTGTCGTTGTCGTCGAGGAGAAGGAACCCGAGATGAACGGTGTCAATGGTGATGCCCATGTCCTCAACACTGACCCAAATCACAAGCGTACCAGGGAAGAATGCGAACTCATTCTCAAGGACAAGAAAGCTCCCATCTTGAATGACGAAGAGCTGATCGACCTCTCCCTCCGTGGCAAGATTCCTGGCTATGCTCTGGAAAAGACTCTCGTTGACAAGACTCGCGCTGTCAAGGTCCGAAGAGCCGTCATTGCCCGTACTCCCGCTACCAACCACGCCTCTGGCCTGCTCGAACATTCAAAACTACCCTATCTCCACTACGATTACGACCGCGTCTTTGGTGCCTGTTGCGAGAACGTCATCGGGTATATGCCACTTCCGCTTGGTGTTGCTGGTCCCATGGTCATTGATGGCAAATCTTACTACCTCCCCATGGCCACAACCGAAGGTGTGCTCGTTGCTTCTACTTCTAGAGGTGCCAAGGCTATCAACGCCGGTGGTGGTGCTGTTACCGTCCTTACTGGTGATGGTATGACTCGTGGTCCTTGTGTTGGCTTCGAAACTCTTGTCCGCGCCGCCGCAGCCAAGGTCTGGGTTGACAGTGAGGTTGGTCAAAAGGTTATGAAGGAAGCCTTCAACAGCACCTCCCGTTTCGCTCGTCTGCAACAGCTCAAGACCACTCTCGCCGGTACCTACCTGTACATCAGATTCAAGACCACTACTGGTGATGCCATGGGTATGAACATGATTTCCAAAGGTGTCGAAAACGCTCTTCGTGTCATGTCCGAGGTATCTGGCTTTGACGACATGGCTATCATTTCCGTCTCTGGAAATTACTGTACTGACAAGAAGGCCGCTGCCATCAACTGGATTGATGGTCGTGGAAAGTCTGTTGTCGCTGAAGCCATCATCCCTGCCGACGTCGTGCGTTTAGTCTTGAAATCTGATGTCAATGCTCTGGTCGAGTTGAACATCAGTAAGAACTTGATCGGTTCCGCTATGGCGGGCAGTATCGGTGGCTTCAACGCTCACGCTTCCAACATTGTCACGGCCATTTTCTTGGCTACCGGACAGGACCCCGCCCAGAATGTCGAGAGCAGTAACTGCATTACCGTCATGAGGAAGTGAGTTGTATCGATTGTCCCAGCCTTTGAGATTATATGCTAACCCTGCTGTTCCCAGTCTCAACGGCAACCTCCAGATCTCCGTCTCCATGCCTTGTATTGAAGTTGGCACCATCGGTGGTGGTACCGTACTGGAGCCTCAATCCGCCATGCTCGACCTTCTCGGCGTACGCGGTGCCCACCCCACCAACCCTGGTGACAATGCACGCCAACTCGCACGCATTGTCGCCGCCGGTGTGCTGGCTGGTGAATTGTCGCTGTGTTCGGCTCTCGCGGCTGGTCATCTCGTCAAGGCGCATATGGATCACAACCGCTCTCAGGCACCTAGTGCGGCGCCCTCGAGACCACAGACTCCTGGGCCTGTGGGTACGCAAGGAATGGGCTTGATGCCCGTCGGCGCCAAGCGATAGATTACGTTAGTGTCATGATAGGTTCCGTTCTTTTGATGGCCTCTGTCCAGCTTTGTATATCCAAGTAATGAGCATGTATATTTTTCTCCCTCCACACCAGCGCGATCGTGGCTGTTTCGATTTCCTTTTTTTTGCAAACCAGCATTTTTTCCTCCAATGCGGAGGGACAGGAAGGAAGGCATCAATGTGTCTTTTTTTAACTTCTTCTTTTCATTACCAGGCGAAAGAGAGGAAGAAGGGCCGTTTCGACCCGGACTGTTCTCTTTGTATATGTGTATGTATATATGTATATGTATATCAGAGCGCGTGCATCAGTTGGCTCTTGTGTGTTCTATGTACAAATACAATTACAAATACAGTCAATCGGTAATCTTTTTCCTTTTCTTATTTCTTCTCATGTTGTACTTGTGTGCGCTATTTTTGTGTTCTTCTTGTATTCTTCTCATGTTGTTTTGGTGTTGTTTTTGTATTCTTCTGGTAGATAGAGTAAAAAGCTGGTGTAGCACAAAAGCGATGTGGTCAAGGTGGGTGAAAGAGCAAAAAGAGCGACGACCATCACGGGACTCGAACCCGCAACCTTCAGTGATTGAGTTTCCAGTGGACCGAAAACTGACGCGCTACCATTGCGCTAAACGGCCTCCAGATGTCAAGCAAGCTTGCTCTATCATAATATGATGCAGTGCTGTGACGGCCATCGAAACCTTACAACGCGTCCAGTACAAGCCTTGCTGATTCTGAGGCCCCGGTGGGAGACACCAATATCCTACGCCTCAGCGGCGTCAGGCTCGATCAACCCATCGTCGTCGGCCACACAGCCTCGACGTAGCAACACTACAGCAACGACACTACCCACCTCCCCCAAAAAACCGCGCCAACTCCCGGGGGTTACAATAGACCTAAGCCGAATAACAGCCGAACAGCGCAAAACGACAGATAACTACAAAGCAACTAGGGACACAATCCGGGAAGCCATTGCAGCCCAACAATCTATAAATAACATTGTCATTGAAGAAATCTAATTTAAAGCAAGAGATATAAGGGTGATCACCTAGAATAGGAAAGACGCAGCACAACTACGTATAAATGAAGTATAGGTCCACTAGGTATTCGAGATGGCCCGAATCCGGGAAGAGGAACTCTTCCTAATTAAGGTTGACAATATACACAAAACGGCAGTCCTAGTACTAGGCACCTATAAAATCAAACTAGAAATAGCAGCTGAATTTAATATGGAAAACAGGTTTAATAGAGCTACTAAGGCGTTCTAGCTCTCTAAAGAGGAAAACCCTACAGAATCTATAATAGTGTACCTCAATACAGCAGAGGACACCTAAAGAGCACTTAAGAAACGCATAGTCTAAATTAATAGCAATATAGCTATAGTTAGCTAATACTATAAGATCCAATGCCCTTAGAGATGCTATAACTATAACAAATATAGCCACTACTAGGCTAAATACAGCTAACCTTTAAAATATGGAAAATACGTAAATAATTATAGAACTAATAACTATATAGCTACAGTGCCAAAGTGTGCAGTGTATAGGGGACTATATATAACTATAGACTCTAAATGCGTAATATACTGAAATAAGATTAATAGAATCTAAAGCGGAAATAAACCCTCTAATTAGCCTATTAAAGTAAGGGAAGAGGACTGGCAAACAGTTATAAGCTAATATACTAAATAGAAAATCACTATAAGCAACATATAATAGGGGACACCTGCTTCCTTTTAATAAATGTGAATAGATAATCCCTAGTTTAGCTTAGCCTTATTAACAACCAGTCTATTAGCTAATTTACAGCAATTATAGTTATAGAACTAAGCATTATTAGTATTAAAAGCAAATTATATATTTTACAATATTAGTGTTAAGTTATTGCAACACTATTTATATATTAAAAGGGATTAACATATTATATATTCTAATTAGCATTTTACATTTATAAAGATATTTTATTTGTCTAAATTCCTATAATGTTATTTAACATAACAGCAGGGGTTATTACTATATTAATAAAACACATTTTTATAGCGTTAATCTATATCCTAGGCTGTAGTAGATATATACTTTCTAAATAGGACTTAGAAGAGACAGCTACTACTAGGCTCAATACTCTAAATAGAGCAATCTAGGAAGCAAAAGCTAAATATAGAGAGAACCTCTATATTATAATTAGAGATAATTTCAATTATTACAACCTAATATAGGAAGGAATCAATATATTATAGTTATAATATAAAGGAGAAGGCAAACTAGTGCTTTAATAAATACAATAGCATAATACCTTTTTAGCTTTACTAAGCAGCATAATCATGTTTCTATAAGGACAATTCAGAACTACTATTAACTTTATACTAATGTCTAATTTAATAAAAAACTAGGTTATAAAATGTAGCATCCATCTGACCTAATATAAGTTAGACTATAAAGCTATAATACTTTAAATTAATAAAGCTAAAATAACTACTTTACAAAGAGCTAAATACAATTTTAGAAAAACAAATTAGGATATAGCTATTAAGGCGCTTAAAGGATGGAAACTATTAGTTGTTAATATTAACAATATTACTAAGCTTAATTAGGCAGTTATAGAGATTCAGAACATAGTAAGCTAATATATTTATAATTATAGCTCTATAGTTAAAGAATCACTATATATAAAAGTATAATAGAATAATAAACTTATAAAGCTATATAATAAATATATATAATGCCTAAATTAAAGCATTACGCTATAAAATATGGAACTAGATAATAAAGAAAGCTACTATAAAGCTAGGTAAGCTAAATACTAGTTTTATAAAGGCATCTGTAATAAAAAACAACTATATTGGAATAAATTCCTAGCATAGATAGATAATATCTGAAAAGCAGCTTAATACCTTAATTTATAATTATTAGCATTTAGTAATATCTTTATTATAGTTACTAATATTGAAGGTTAGGAAATGGAGCTTAAAGAAGACAAGGCTAAAGCAAATAAACTACTCTAATGCTTTTTCTTACTAGTTTTTAAAAAATGGAAAAAGGACGCGCTAAACCCTAATATAAAATATATAAAAGACCTGGATATCTTTATTAAAAAAGTAACTAAAGTAATAGTTAAAATTAGCCTATATAAAGCATTAGGTATAAATAGTATTCTAAATATTATATAAAAACGCTTATAGTCTATTCTAAATAACTAAATTATTAATATCTTTAATATATTGTATTAATTAGGATACATATTAACTATATAGAAAACAGCACAAATCTTACTATTATAAAAGCTAAAGAAACTGGATTATTATATAGTAAAAGCATATTGCCCTATCTCCCTTTTAGCTATTCTAAGTAAATTAATAGAACTTATATTAGTAAAAAGAATATTATATTAAGCTAAGATATTCAATCTCTTTTTAAAAACATAATTTAGTATTAAGCTAAGATACTTATATAACTAAGCGCTGCTTCTCTTAATTAAGAAAATCTTTAAAATATAATAGTAAAAGAAAATCCTTTCCTTTATTAGTTTTGATATAAAGGGAGCATATAATAGCATTCCTTAATAAATGCTTACTAATTAGCTATATATAAAAGGGATTCTAATTTATATAGTAGTATAGATTAATTCCTTTTATATAGATTGACTAGTAATAGTATTAATTAACAATATAGAATTAAGCAAAGTCACCATTTACAGAATCTGGCTTTTTATAAGGATTAACACTTGCCCTAATTTTATATATCTTTTTTAATATGTTTCTAATAAAGGAAAAGATTAATAGGAAATAAGATAATATAGGGTTTGTAAATAACTATATCTAATAGGCTATCTCAGAATTAATAGAAAGAAACATATTAATACTTAATAATAAAGCTGTCCTAAAGGCTCTCTAATAGGCAAAAGACAGTAGCGCTACGTTTAAAAGCAATAAAACAATCCTTATATATTTTATACAAAATTATAAAAAGACTAGCAATTCTGACTTTTTATTAAAAATAGGCAATTATATTATTAAACCTTCTATAAAAGAAAGAATCCTAAAAGTTATCTTTAATGCTAAGCTGAGGTTTAAGAACCATTTAGCTAAAGTTAAAATAAAAGGATAGAAAAATGCTAACTAATTTAAACGCCTTTTCTATATTAGCCTATAATTAGCAAAATAGCTATATTAAGCTATAATAGCTTCCAAAACAGACTATGTAGCTATATTATAGTATTCTAAGTCCTTAAAAAGAAAGATTAATAATAGCATAATAAAGATTCTTAATTTTATATAAAGGATAGAAGCTTAAACAATTATTAAATGCTTCTATACAAACTTAGTTAAAGCATTTAGTACTAAAGCCTTGCTCCACTTTCTATATATCTAGCTAAAATTGAAAATTAGCAAATTCTAAATAGTACTTTATATATTACTAGAAATTAACTTATTAAACAGACAGCTTAGAAAACTAGCTAAAAAGCTTAGAGCAAAGTTGTTCACTTCTTCTCTTTATAATATAGAAATATAGTTAGGAAAGACAAGGATAGGAATAGAAATCATCCTAGCGTAGATAGCCCTATTATAAGAAATAACTATTGTTAATAGCGAACCTAACTAGTATAACTTAGATAAGACATATAAAGAATATATTAAAATAAAAGACTAGCGTATAAATATCTTTGCTAATAGCTTAGTGATTAACAGCTAAGCAGGAGTTGAAGTAGCAATATACTCTAAGAAATCTACATTACTATCTACCTACTTTTAAAAAATCAAATTAGAAATTAGCATTAACAATACAATAATAGAGCTAGTAGCTATTAAATAAGCAGTAACCCTAATAGAGGTTATATTAGAAATATTAAACAGCTAAGGGAAGCTAATCCCTTAAATAGTAATATAGTTAGATAATTAAATAGCTATTTATATAATTAACTGCTAAATAAGCTAAAGCAAAGCAGCTATAGTATAAAGCATTCTATATATAATAAGAAAATACGCAATTTTTAAAGAATATCTAGTCATTTAATAAATCCTAAAGAAGTTTGCAATAGTAGGACATATAAAGGCTAACTAACTAGCAAAGCAGGTAACAAGCTGCTATATAAAGTTAAGTATAGGTAAAATAATTCTAGATAATACAAAAGAAATCTAGAATACCCTTTAAAACAGAATCTTAGCTAAAGAACAACAAAGACTTTAAAAAACAGGGAGAAGCTTTTATATAATAAATAGCGCTATTCTAAGCAAATATATAATATTGCTTTATAATATAATAAATAAAAAAGAGGCTTTTATCCTTTTATAGCTCTAAATAAGGCATACTTACTTAAATAAATTTCTAATAGTAATTAATATTATAGATTTAAGCTAATATAAATACAGATAAGGAGAGGAGATAGTTTAACATTTTGTATTACTATATCTTAAATATAATACTTAAAAATGTAAATTAGTAAAAGTATTAAAGCATAAGTTTAGTAATATTTTATAAATATTAAGAGAGTGTAACCCCTATATAGTAATAAAATAGCTATATAGGGACAGATTAACAAATTAATAAAAAGCGGATATAGAAACAGTCTAAGCAATTATTAAATACGTAATAGACACTAGAAGATTAAAGTTCGCAAAGAAGCGTAGAAAGCTAGAAAGCGA